CAACTGATTGTTCTACTTGTGCCTAAAGCTTTTTAAAGAAATCTGTAGATCATCACTCCCAACCTAATAAGCAAAGCAATCTGAATAAGCTGGAAAATCATAGATTTCAAAAATTCATCAGAGATGAGGATGTAAGGAGATCTAAATGAACTCTAAAATGCTGCAGCAAACTCTTCAGAAAAGAGTCCCTTGGCTGTCTCATCCCACACATGAGCTGCTAGAAGATGCATTATTGACACAAAGAGGTGAGAAGTAAGTCAGCTCTCTACTGCATTTTTAATGACTGTGTAGACTGGGGTGATAGATTAGAATTCAGAGGAGTCCTACAGCTTGTACTCCCTCCCCCACCAAACTTGCTCATAGTCTTTGCCAACTGTATCAATAATGCATGGAAGTCTGGAGGTTGGACAGAAGAGAGGAGAGACATCCATCCCCTTTAGACAAACTGATCCTCTCCCAAGTGCAAGAAAGTAACTTACTTATGATGGCAGGCAGAGAATCAGAGCTGAGAGAATGCTCTCTGAGGCATTCAGAAACTTCTGGAAGGATCAGCAAATTTGCCCTCAGATACTGGGGAGAGAGTAGATAGAAAAAGAAATATCTCCCAAGGCTCAAGAAAGCTGGAGCGTAACACAAGACACGGAGCATTCCCTAGGACTTCCTGTGATGATGAAAATGTTCTGTCTCCTGTTTGGATGGTAGTTACATGGGGGTACAGAACTGACAAAACATTTCAATGAAGGCCTCAGAACTGTGTGTTTTAGGTGATGCTTCCATTTAATAGACAAACAGCAAGGAATTTGATGTGAGAAACAATTGCTAACTGATCTTTTCGATCACCTCAGGAGAGAGTGGCATTAGATTTGTAAATCTGGTCTTTCTGAGAACGTCATGTTCATTGTTGGAATGCAGTGTGCTTTTGCTGTGGCTCATTGAAGAATGTTCTGGAATCTTCTAAAGAATTTGGTTTGCACGTTAAAGGGATATACCAAATGAAAAATGATGGGAAAACTCGCGAAGGTGAGAAGAAATAAAGACACAATAGTTTCAATAATAAGAAATGTTGGAAAAATATATTTTTTTATCTTGAGGTACAACAGTTTTAAGAGTTTTAATCTCCTATCTATATGCTCACATGCTTCTTTGTCCTGGTCCTTCTCCCTAAAACACACCCCTTTCATGGGAAAGAAGAAAGCTTGTCTTCATGCTAATGAAGCTGAAGGAGGAAAGCTTTCTTTCCTTTGACAGGAGGTTGTCAGGGCCTTGTGAGACTGAGGTTCTCTAGCCCTGGGGCTGCAAGTCACTTTTACTGCACCTTCTCTCATAATCTAATTATGGCTGGGAGGAAAAAGAGGAAATTAAGTCTGATGACAGTGTGTCCTGGGAAAGGCCAACAGAGTCAGGCCAAGAGAATTCAGAAGCCCATCAAAGTAAATGGCTTCCAGTTTCTTTCCTCCATTAACCTGGGTTATGGCACAATGCAGTATTAATACGTAACAAAAATGGTAACAGTACCTCACACCTAGAGAAAGGTCCTCCTCCTAATAGTCCTGAGTATGTGACAGCCTGCATTTGAAATAGGGCAGGCGCACACAGGAACTCACCGTTCAGAAAGTCCTTCTACAAGTAACATTGTGATGCAGCTCTAAGGTAGAAATAAGGTAGATTCTAGATTGACAAATCCCTACCTCTAAATCCCAGTTTTACCCTAGATGAGAGCTATGGCCTCCTGAAGACCAATTACCTTTTTTAAGCCTCTGTTTTACCTATAAAACTGAACATCTAAACGTCTGTTAGATTACTTACTATGAGAATTTCAGGAAACTAATGACTGAGTCTGGCATGCAGTAGATGCTTATAAGGTTTCCATGCTTGTTAGTTTGGTTTTTATTTTATTTTCTCTTGATGGTACTGGGGTTTGAATTTAGAACCTCAAGCATTCTACCACTTGGGCCTCCACTCTTGTTTTTAGTTTAGATTGTCTTTTTTAGACAGTGTCTTGGGCTTTTCTTTTTGCCTGGGCTGGAGTCAAAACTCAATATTCCTCAGCTTTGCCTCCCAAGTACATAGGATTATATGCATGAGCCAGCATGCTTGGCCATTAAATGGTAATTATTAGTGATGACAATAAGTCATATTATACCTTTACTACTAATATTGGAACCATTTACCTATATTTATCTATGTGGATATTATATATTTGTGCATGTTTGATTTAAAGTATACATAAAGGTATTATATGAACAAAAGAGAAGAAATGAAGACTAGAATAAAAAATCATCCCTCATGATCTCTTTCTCTCCCTCTCTCCTTCTCTCTCTCTCTCTCTCACATACACACACACACACACACACACACACACATCTCCCCTACTTCTTTTCCTAAATGTGTTAAACACAGTATCTCCACAATTTTTGTTGCTTTTGATTTTTGTTTGTTGTATATCAGTACCAGGCTTGAACTCAGGTCCTTGCCTGGCTTTCTTGCTCATGGCTAGTGTTCTACCATTTGAGCATATATGTATCTAATCTAGGTTTTTTTTGTGTTTTTTGTGGGGGTTTTTTGCTGTTTAATTGGAGACAGAGTCTCTCAAATTTTTCTGCCTTAGCTGGCTTTGAACTTTGATTCTCAGACCTCGGCCTTCTAAGGAGCTGGGATTACAGGCATGAGCCACTGGCACCCAGCAATACTTTACAATTTTAGGTAAAGAGCAAAAGTGATAGACATATGAGGGCCCTGCCAGGCCTGCCACAGCACTCACAGGAAATGAAAGTACAGAAACTTCAATCTACAAACATTGAGCATCATGGTGGAATACAATAACATATATTTTAGAACCACTCAGACTTTAGTTAAAATCCTTGTCCCAAGAAAGCATATTTACCTTTGGGGACTTCGTTTTCTCTATAAGATGGAAATAATTGGGCCAAATAGTTGGTGTTGACTAGAATACATATCAAGATTTATAGTGTGCATAAAACGCCTGGTCTCTAGTATAACCCCTCGAAATGGTAGACAAACTGTGATCACCACTACATCTCTAGTTCCTCTGTCATCGTCATTCTAGAAGCCAACCACAATTTCCATTTGAATGGAATCCATTTGAATCTTACTGCCATCTTATTGTAATTATCAACTACAGGACTTCTCTGGGACTTGCCCAAAGACAAGGCTTACAAATTCATTAATTTAAAAAGTCTTCCTTGATTAGTTATGAAAAGAATTTAGTAAGGAAACAATGCCTTTTTTTTCTTTGTGCCAAGACTTGGGAGCTATCCCAGAGCTTTTTAGCTCATGGCTAGCACTCTATCACTTAAGCCACAGCTCCACTTCCAGCCTTTTATTGGAGATAAGAGGCTCACAGACTTTCTTGCCCAGGCTGGCTTTGACCTGACATCCTGAGATCTCAGCCTCTGGAGTAACTATGATTACAGGCATGAACCATTGGTGCCCAGCTGGAAACAATGTCTTTTTTTTTTTTTTTTAACCATCATGGGGCATGAACTCTGGGCCTGGGCACTGTCTCTGAGCTCTTCAGCGCAAGGCAAGAGCTCTATCACTAGAGCCACAGCGCCACTTCTGGTTTTCAGGTGGTAAATTGGAGATAAGAGTCTCATGGTCATTCCTGCCTGGCTGACTTTGAACTGCAATCCTCAGATCTCAGCCTCCTGAGTAGCTAGGATTACAGACGTGAGCCACCAGCGCCCAGCTAAGCAATGTCTTTTTAAGGCATTGAAAATGTGCTTTAATCTTTATTACACATAAACTTATATATCTTATTAATTTCTTTTTGACCATGGAAAAGAATTTAGGTTAAATAGTCTTAGAAGAAAGAATTTTCCTGTTTTCTAGGTAAGCCCTTGACAATAGGTTGATTGGCTAAAAGACTGAAAACTGAACTCTTCCCTGTATCATACATACATAACATACTCTTTCACCCACATATACAACATCAAATATGATGAGACATACATAATATCAAACTTGATGAGGCAGAGAGGTAAGGTTTGAACAAAGTTAGAGAAAAGTTAATTGTAAAGAAAGAAGTCAAAGAAGCTACAAATATGAAAAATGAGAGAAACAGGATCATACGAGAGTTGTCCAGGAAGGATACAAATCATCTTCAGAAAAGATGCTGTGGGCACTCACTACATAATATCTGCCCAAGTGTTCTAGTCTCCTGAGAGATGGGCACTTGACCAATAAGGTATTATGCTCTCTGTCTTTATAAAACTGAGATTGATATTCTTTGGTAAGATTCCATATTCAGCATAGAAGGAACACAATTAGAAGCCTGAAGCAGCACTTTCCTCTTTTTATCCAATACAAAAGTCTCCTTCTACTGCATGACCTTCCATGCAAAACAGCTTATTTTTAAGGCTTTGTTCCAGTCCCTTAAAGATCCTTGGTTACAAGCCATGGGAAAGAATATCATGTGATTGAGGCATGGACCTTTCTAAGTGACAAGGGGAAATGTCTTGCTACAGTTACCCTCAGTGAAGAGAACACAGAACCATTTGGTTATTCAGAACAATTTTTAACCGTGTTGGAAATGAGGCTACTAGCTTCTCATTTTTCCACAACTCTCATTTTCCTTTGTGAAAGTATTTCAAGGTCACAATGAATGGGGTATTGGGAGTTAAATTCTTATGAATCTATGAAAAGTACTATACAAAAGCAAATATTGGCTTCCAGTTTTTCAAATGGGGCAGACAAGGAACTAATAAGGGTAAATAAAAGTGTTATTTTCTTTTCCTCCTCTATCAATGATAACTAAATAGGTATTCACGCCAGGATTGCTGGATGGTAGATATCACATTCTGAAATATTATTGCAAATAAGGTGGACAGTTTGAAGTCAGTATAAAGGTAGATTGAATTATTATTTTTTAATTGTGAAAATACTGTACAGAGGGGTTACAATTACATGGGCAAGATAATGAGTACATTTCTTATCAAGCATTATAGCCTAAAGGTAGATTGAATTATTAAGTAACTTACCATATCAGTAGAAGAAACAGTTGGCAAATCCTCTGGGGCCACTGTGGTATCATTAGATATTGAAATATTACCTGTAAGAAAAGCACAATGCATGACTATAGAAATAGAGACAATATAAATGCATCATTAGGTTATCTAATACAATAACAACAACAACCTAAAAAAGAGGAACAAGAACTAAAAATGTCTTCAATGACAACTTAAGTGTGTAATGAAATTTTATTTATTTATTGCTTTTATTCACTGTACTTATCATATTTATTATACTTATCATAATTATTAATATTGTACTGATTGTATATTACTTATTATACATTATATTTAGTATACTTAGTATTATAGCACTCTACTGTGTTTATCTTTCACCTAGGTAAGATAACCAAATATTTAAATACATCCATTGTGTTCTAGTGAGAAACAATGGCTAACATTTAAAGAGGTGTTATTATAATTTATTCTCATTTTTCCAAGAGAAAAAGACATGGAACAATCCCATTACTAAAATATATATTTTTTGGCTAATAGGAGGAATGGCTGCTAATCATTAAGCTGATCACTGTTCTCATTTACCCCAGAATCGCGCCAATCGGAACTTCACTACATAATTGTTAGCGAATGCATAATGTGCAAAAGCAAAAAAGTTCTAAATAAAGAATGTAAATATAATGGGTCATAATATTTAACTTTTCAAAATTTTTCTTATACAATGTGGTATCCTATGTAGGCTTAAAATGACCTTTACAGGCTTTATTTATTAAACTGACCTTCCCTTTGGATATATTTCATTCTTTTTGTTTGTTGGGGTTTGAACTCAGAGCTCTATGCTTGTTAAAGGAGGTACTCTACTGCTTGGGTCACACCACTAACCCCTTTTTGCATTGTTATTTTCTGGAATATGGCTCCTTCATTACCCCAGGCTTCCTGAGCATCATTCTATGTATGTTTCCCTTGTAGCTAGAAATTAACAGGCCCATGTCACCATGAACAGCTTTTCCTATTGAGATAAGATCCTGTCAACTTTTTGCTCAGGCTGCCCTCTAATGTAACTGTGACATGCCTTGCTCCATTAGTTCCTCTTAAATTTTTATGGGTCTAAACAGCAAAAGATAATATTTTACTAAAATACTTTACTTCATCAGATAAACCCCTTTCCTTTGTTGGGAAGCTGGACATATTATAAAATAAGCTGTTGCGTGAAGAGAATATCCTGAAATTTATGGAAACAGGAAGTAACACCTGTCAGATTTTTGTCTCAGAACCACATAGCTCATTTAACAGTTCAATTGCAAATTATTATTTGGTTTCTACCTCCTCCTATCAAGGCCTATTCTGTCATTTTAACTTGCCATGTTTCAGATCCTGCCTATGTAAACTTTAAAAGGAAACACATGAGTTTATTTGATAGTTGGAATTTAGAATGTGAAATCCATCAGAGAGGAAGAGAAAAGGCATGTCCTAGTCACTGCTTTCCCTAAAACCACATACTCTCCATCTATACTCACAGAAACTCAAAAAAAGTATTTGCTATCAATAAAGAAAGAGAGGAAAGGGGTGCTTCCAGACGAAAATGAACGATAGCCTAAAAAGCCCCCAAAATAAGAAACAAAGAAAAGGAAAAGAAACAAACAAAAGAGAAAATGTTTATCTTGGGTGTTAGTTCTGCTCAATTCTCAGAATCCATTCTGACCATCAAAGGCTCTGAATTGTGAAACTGTTAACCTAAATGTAGCTGCTGCCAGTATGTTTTTTTTCTATTGTTCTATTTTATTACATATCATAGAATTAAGATAAAGAACACTGGTACAATGAAACAAAAATCCATTCCCTACAAGGAAGACGTTGGTAAATTACAAACAGAGCTTAAGTTTTGATTATTATCTTGTTCTAAAAATTTAAATAAATTTTCATACATTATTTGCTCATTTTAAAACACTCTGGGACACAGGATAGGTATACTTTTATCAATTGGACAGGACTCTGAAGAAAGAGCAACAGTGGTACCTTCCCTCGCTTAACAGTTCATTCAAAGCAGAGTTGGCACTGAGATATCATTCAGAATTATTTTCCTTCCCCTATGCAGCATTTCTAATCAACAAAATCAAGTTGGTTTCTGTGGCCACAGAAGTAGTCGCCAGTGTAGAAGATGTGAGACTTCACCATAAGATAAGATGTCTGATCTGTCTGAGCTTTTGAAAAGAAACAACATATGTGAAATCTCAGGCTCTGTTTAAGTTGCATCTGGGAAACTGCTCCTGTTTTTGTTTCTTTTTTGTTGTTGTTTAATATAATTTCATGAGCTAGGTCCTGCCAAAAGACATGAAAGGTCTCTTTGCAACACACTTTTCTGCATTAAAAGGAAGGGCTAAAAAATATGTGTAGCAGGGAGATATTAAAAGTTCCTTCCTTATGAAATGAATAATAGATAATAAGGACCAGCAGTACACTAAAATAAGTTTCCAGTACTGTTAGTAATTTCTCTCAGGTTTGAATACATATTAACTCTGCTCTTTTAAATGTTTTTATCTTTTCAGTTTCCCCCTAAGACAAACTGGTAAAGACTGACTCTCAAAAATCCCACATGACAAGCCTCTAAATGACAGGAACAAGTTATAATTATAATTTATCTACTTACTTTAATAAGCAGCTACTTCAAACCAAAGACTAGAATAAATATAATAAAAAAGCATTTCCATAAACATCCATTGGCAGGGTATAGCAGAGTCCATAAATGAGATTAAAACTAAATTTCTTTAGGCTCACTGATAAGAAAATGATCAATTACAACTGGGAGCTTTGGCTACTAAAGGTATTGGTCACCATTTGGAATCTAGACATATATATGCAAATACATTGGCAACCATCTGCTGAAGGATCCATTTGTATAGAATCTGCAATATCCTTAATTAAGATACCGGAAAGGTCAAATGGAAAAGCCAAAACACTGCACTCTTGTCTTCACTGTCTGTCCAACGCCATGGCTATGACAAAGAGATATTCTTTGCTCCAAGAATTTGGCTAATTTAGATTTAGCCAATAATCACCAGGACAATCTGTATCTTATATGTGATCTCAGGAGTTTCCACAGATAGATCATTTTCCCTTATTTGGATTTTCACTTCTTGTCCCCTTCCTCTCCTGCCACCCCGTGTATCAAACTTTTCGCTGTTACTCTGGAATAAAGAACTGCATTTTGTCAGTATTAGAATTTTAAAGTGTAACTGTGACTTTTCCACTTTAAGCTGGCCTTTCCTCCTTTCTGTTTAGTGAGAAACTGACAGAAAGAACAGGAGATAAAGTATGGCTTTGGCTGCGGACAATAGAGGGGACATCACCCTCTCAATACTGGCATCCCGTCTGCATACAGAATATCAGCAGCCTCTTTATTCATTCGTCCTCTTTATTCTCACCATACCTTGACATTCAAAATGGCTTTTGAACCAGCAGAAGTCTGGGCAAAGTAAGGAATTAGGTGATACTCTTTCAGTCATAACTAACAAGTTTTTATTCACTTTTTTTTGTTGTTTTCTTTGTTTCCAAAGTATTTTTTTACCAAGAATAGTGCTTGAGATGTTCTATGACTAGGCACATTCCAGTAGAATATTTGTGTATGTGTGTGTGTATGTGTGTGTGTGTCTGTCTGTCTGTCTGTCTGTCTGTCTGTGTATGCCTAATCTGCTTGAATTCAGGGCCTCATGCTCTGGCTTGTCTTTTTTAACTAAAGACTGGCACTCTATTCATTTTTGGATTTTTGCTGCTTAAGTGGAGACAAGAGTCTGGTGGATTTGTCTGTCTGGGATGGCTTCAAACTATGATCTTCAGATCTCAACCTCCTAATTAGAATTATAGGCAGGAGCTATATATAATAGGCCATTATTAGTATATAGGTTACAGGCCTGAGTTCATGTAGGCTATTTTTAAGCTCTATTCCTCACTAGTTTGGGTGTGGAGATAATCCAGATTCACTGTTTCCCCTTTCCTGATTTCTACAAGCATTATGTAGAAAGTTAAAATATATGTGAGGACCATGAAAAGAAACTAAAATAATGGGTATTTCAAATATTGATGGTTTTCTCCAAATACCACATAAGCATGAGCAACAGAATATCTATTATGCTGGTGAAAGACTTTCACAAATGCCAGCTTCAAGGATGCTCTACCAGAACTTTTTTTTATTGGTTTTACCACGATTCTGTTATTTAAACCTACCTCATAGCAAGAGAATTGCATACAGTAAAAGTGAAATTTACGTACCATGATACACAGTTCATGGAAGAAAAATAGGATTATGTTTTACTTCCTCTTTTCCTTTTCATGAGCTTTCTAATTCTGCAACACATAATGACCATCCTATTTGACCAGAGGTGACACAAACTGGTAATTCACTCCTTTTTAGTTGGTTATAACCTATAGGTGCATCATATAAGGCTAATAAAAAGGCTCTACAATGAGAAATGATATTGAAATTATACTGTCATGACAATCATCTGGGATCATTGGGAAGCCTCCTCATGCTGGGAGTAGAGGTATAAAATAGAAGCCATGGCTATTTCCAATCGCTTAGCCTGTTCCTACAGCCAAGGGAAAGACTACCTTTTACAGAGATCATACAGTGACACACTCGGTGCTTGAGCCAGGATTTAGTCCTCTTAACCACTCATCTATTATTAAGCATGTTCCCCCTGCAACAGTCAGCCACAAATCAATAAAATATATCTCCTCTATGAACAATACAGTGTCTATACCCTAAGGCTATTTTTCTTGCTTTTATAATTGAACATTTTTAGCAAGGCTTTCTCTTCCAGATAGAAAACCAACACCTGGTCAGAAAATTTATTTTGATGATTCCTAAAATATTAATGTTCCCTTAAGCATTGAATCACCACAACCTTTACACATTACGCAAATTAACAATAATACTGGAGTTGGAACTTATTTCTAAAGTCTAGGTCAAATGAAAGTTGGATCCCTGTTCATTCAGCTATAACTAGTAATATTTAAGTGACAATGTCTTATAAAAAATATCAACTTGAATGCATATATTCTACTTCATTGCAAATGGCACAATTCTTAA